CCCCTCAACACACAGTTACCAAGCCCCTCCCATGTTCTCAGGGACACCGGTGAACTCTCTAGTCCTCCTGCCTTACCCAGGAACGAATGACCAGGGCTCTAATAAGCAGAAAAAAACAAACACAAGTTGGAGGACACAGCAACTTTCTACTCCCCCCACCTCCCCAGTAATACCCGCAGACAGCTGAGAGGAAGGGTTGCATCACTAAAATAAGAACAGGGTGTTTTAAGAGGAATATTCAGAGAACAGCAACCTCTAAGCCAAAAACAAACAAACAAAAAACTTTGGAGATTGAAAATAATCGTAGAAATGAAAAAATTCAACCAAGGGTAGGAAGATAAAGTTGAAAAAAATCTTCCAGGAACTAGAGCAAGAAGGCAAAGAGATATTGGATAAGGGAGAGGGAGAAGAGAGAGAAACAAAACATTGGTCCAGGAGGCCCAGCATTTCTCAAGCCTTTGTAAGGACAACACAAGTGAATTACTGGAAACATGACCCTGCCTGGGGTGTCACGGCATGTTAAACTGCTGTGAAAGTTCTAGATGCTTCTCAGTTTTGGTGCTCAGCTCATCATGGAGGAATCATGGTGGACAGACCAGCACCCATCTGTGGAGGTGCTGCTTCCAGCTATGTTCATCCATACCTTTGGTTTTAAAAAATTGCTTAAAATAAAAAAGGGAGTTCTCACTACTAGGATGGCTATAATAATAATAAAAAGAAAGGAAACTAGCCCTAACCGGTTTGGCTCAGTGGATAGAGCGTCAGCCTGCGGACTGAAAGGTCCCAGGTTCAATTCCGGTCAAGGGCATGTACCTTGGTTGCGGGCACATCCCCAGTGGGAGGTGTGCAGGAGGCAGCTGATTGATGTTTCTCTCTCATCGATGTTTCTAACTCTCTATCCCTCTCCCTTCCTCTCTGTAAAAAATCAATAAAATATATTTAAAAAACAAAAGGAAACTAACAAGTGTTGGCAAGGTGGTGGAGACACTAGGACACTTGTGCATTGCTGGTGGGAAAGTAAAATGGTGCAGCCTCTGTGAAAACAGTCTGGTGGTTCCTCAAAAAGTTACCCATAAAATTACCATATGACCCAGCAATTCTGCTCCTAAGTGTTTACCCAAAAGAACTGAAAACAGGGACTCAAGCAGATACTTGTATGTCAATGTTTATTGCAGCATTATTCATAATAGACAAAAAGTGGAAACAACCCAAGTGTCAATCAACAAATGAATGGATAAACAAAGTGTATATATTCATACAATAGACTATTATTCAGCCATAAAAAAAGAACGAAATTCTGCTACAACATGGATGCTACAACATGGATGAATCTTGAAATCATTATGCAGTATTAAATGAAATAAGTCAGACACAAAAGAACAAATATTGTATGTTTCTACTTAAATTAAATATCTAGAATAGTCAAATTCAGAGATGGAAAGTGGGTTAGAGGTTACCAGGCTCTGGGGGAGGTGGGAATGGGGAGTTAATGCTTAATTGGTACAGAGTTTCTTTTTGTGGTGATGGAAAACTTTTGCAAACGGACAGTGGGGATGGTTGCACACTTTTGGGTATGCAATTAATGCCACTAATTGTACACTTAAAAATTGTTAAAATGGCATTTTTTATGGTATGTATGTTTTATCACAATAAATAAACTTTAAAAGACTCTATGTTTAAAGTCTAAAATGTTTCTTTCATTAAATATAAAAGAAAAATTTAAGTGGTAAAAAAAAAAATATATTTTTAAAGGGAGAAGCCAGAGGATCAGGAAAGGTTTTGTCAAGAGGGCGGAAGGCCCTGACCGGTTTGGCTCAGTGAATAGAGCATCGGCCTGCAGATTCAAGAGTCCCAGTTTCGATTACGGTCAAGGGCATGTACCTTGGTTGTGGGCACATACCCAGTAGGGAGTGTGCAGGAGGCAGCTGATTGATGTTTCTAACTCTCTATCCCTCCTTCTCTGTAAAAAATCAATTATATACACACACACACACACACACACATATATATAGAGGGCGGAAGGTGTATGCTCGGCCAGTGTGGCTCAGTGGTTGAGCGTCGACCGATAAACCAAGAGGTCTCTGGTTCAATTCCCCCTCAGGGCACATGCCCTGGTTGTGGGCTCGATCCCCAGTGGGGGCATGCAGGAGGCAGCCCCATCCATGTTTCTCTCTCATTGATGTTTCTCTCCCTGGAATCAATAAAAAAATATTTTTTTAAGAAAAAGAGGGCCCTGACCGGTTTGGCTCAGTGGACAGAGCGTCGGCCTGCGGACTGGAGGGTCCCCGGTTTGATTCCGGTCAAGGGCGTGTAACCTGGTTGCGGGCACATCCCCGGGGGGGGGGGGGGTGTGCAGGAGGCAGCTGATCGATGGTTCTCTCTCATCGATGTTTCTAGCTCTCTATCCCTCTCCCTTCCTCTCTGTGATAAATCAATAAAATATATTTAGAAAAAAGAAAAAAAGAAAGAAAAAGAGGGTAGACGTGGGCAGATTTCAAGACCTTGCTTTGGGGGAGCAGAGCTTTGGGAGCAAAGACCCAGCCGCAGGGCTGGGAGGGTGGCCTGGGCCATTTCAATGAGTCTGTGTGGCTGAACAGGGACATAGAGAAACAGCAAGAAATTAAAGATTAGAAAGCTCTATTGACCTATGAATCAGAAAGTCATGGTTCGATTTCCAGTTAGGGCACATGCCCAGGTTGCGGGCTCTATCCCCAGTCGGGGGTGTGCTGGAGGCAGCCAATTGATGATTCTCTGTCATCATTAATGTTTCTCTCTCTCTCTCCCTTCCTCTCTGCAATCAATAAAAATATGTTAAAAAAAACACACACAAAAATCTCTTCGGGCCACAGGAGGAGTTCAGGTGCGGAGCTCTGGAGGGAGGGCGATCCCGCAGGGGAATGCGGGAGTCAGGGCTGGGCTCTGGAACAGCCCCTCTCAGGCCTGAGTGAGATCAGAATCATCGGGAGCGCTTGTGACCGCCCAGACGGCTGGCCCCACCCGAGTTCCTCACTCCTGGGACGTGGGCCTGGCTGTGGCGATTGGTGGTGAGTGGGTGGCCTGGAATCAAACCTTTTTTCTTCTCCTCAGACACCACCACCCGTCTCCTGCTCGGAGCCATTGCCGTCCTCCTGTTCGCCATCCTGGTGGTGATGAGCATCTTGGGTGAGCATGGATGTCGGGGCATTTATGCGGTTCAGTGTACCACCTCCTCAGAAGCGTGTCTAAGCAGGTCAAGAGAAGTTCCCGGCGAACCACGAATTCTATGGGGGACAAAGTGAATAGCAAACCCAGTGTTCTAGAGGTGATTTTAGCTTAAAATACTCTTTTCACACATCGACTCTACAAGTGCCCTTTACTAAGCGATGCGGGGCAAGTGGAGATGCCCTGAGAACTCAGAGCGAACTCCAGGGGGGTTAGGCAGGCAGTGCTTCTTGGAGATGAGTTTGGGACAAGGGCCATTAAAGATCACATTCATTCATTCAGGGGACATTTATAGAGCCTGCTGTGTGCTAGGCCCTGGGCGAAGTACTAGGGATTAAAAAAAAAGATGTTTGTTATCTCCCTTGTGCAAATATAGAGGTGTTCCTGCCGGGGGGCGGGGGGGAGGGGGACTTCCCAGAGGGGGAAACATGGGTGCCAGACCCTGAGGAATGAATGGGGCCTCCCTCCAGGAGGCAGAGGGAACAGAACAGCCCAGGGGGTGGGGCCTGAGCCACAGGAGGGCTGCGTGGGCCTGAGAGGGGAGGGATGAAGACCAACGGCCCTGTCACTTTGGGCAGCCACCAGGGAATTTGGCTGCTTTTAATGGACTCAAGGCAACGTATGTCGTGCGGCCCGAAGGGTTTGCAAAGTGATTTGTCTTTAATCTTTGAGACGCACCATAAAGCCAGAGGTGGGCACCTCCAAGTGGGCAAAAAAAAATAAAAATAAAAACAAACCCACTGATAACACCAGCCCTTGGCAAACCCTCGCCTCCAGGTGTGCGTGGTAAGCAGGGAGGTGTGTTTAGAGAAGAGCCTGGTGACCGCTGGCGGCAGCTTGGTTCCCCTGGAATAGTTACTACAAATTAAATCAGGCGCCTCTTGTCTTGCTGGGGGGTCAGGGAAATGTGTAAAGCAGCACAGTGTGATTTCAGTGAAGTCTCCTCAGAGATCCTTGTGGAGAAGCAGCAGACACGCAGCCACACCAGGGCCAGTAGTCCCGAGGGGACCTGCAGCGCACGGAGCAGGCGTGCAGTGCGCGCTGGTTAACCGGTGTCCGTGTGGCTGGGATCCCCAGGCTGGAGCGCCATCGGCCTGTCTTGGCTCTGTCTGGTCTACATTTCATCAATCACTTGTATGAAAACAAACAAAATATATGCTTATAGAATGTGTAGGTGATACAATCCAAAGAGGGATGTTGAATGTGACAGATGAGAAAAAAAAATCAAGATTAATGTGTATCTTTAAAAACTCAGAGGAGCCAACATGGACGAGATAAACGTGGGAGAAATACATGTAAGACCCTTCATTTGGGTTTGAAATTGATTTATACGTGTTCTGGCCACTGGGGAGACCCCACTTGGAGAGAGATCATATGAAAAACGATCAGCGCACGGCTTCATTCCTCTTGGCAAGGAGGCCCTTTGAGACTGACGGACGCTCTGGGCTTCCTTCCCAGAACAGTGTGCGCGTGTGCACACGCCCCCAGACTCCTCTCTGACGCGGTCTGCAGGCCGGGAGCCCACGGCAGCTGGAAGGCAGCATGGTGATCGCTGTGGCTGGGGGCGGGCCCATCCGAGCTTCCTGTCTGATGGGAGGCAGCGTTGTGATGATGCGGGCACCCTGTGGTGAGCCAGGCAGGATGGAGAAGGGTCTGGAGGAGAGGCCGGGTCTGTTTAAGCCTCGAGAGGGAGGCTGCTGCCCTTCAAGTGGGCGCTCGACGGCGACCGGCTTTGCTCTGGGTCACCCCAGAGGCAGATCGCGGGCCAGTAGGTCTAGGTCACAGGAGGGCAGGCTGGAACTCAGAACCGGAGAAGCGCTTCCAGCAGTCAGTGGGGAAGGGCTGCCCCGTTAGCTCATGGGGCCTGGCCAGGGCCCACCGAGCCTGCAGGTGGGTGCCACCCAGGCTGGAGAGAGGACGTGTCTGTGGCCTCCGCGTCCCTTCTGAATCGGAGTGTCTGGGGTCCCATGCCCTGAAGAGGTCAGAGAGAGAGAGAGGTGGTCTTAACCCAGGAGCTAACCTGCCACGTCCCCCCTGGTGTCCCGCAGACCTCCTAAATTCCTCTTCCTGCTGCATTTAGCCACTCACCTTCTCCCTGCCAGGCACTGTGAGGTGCTCACCTGAGCCATGTCAGTGCGGGGCACCCAGGCGGGGGCCAGTGGGGGGAGCCGCGGGGGCAGCGTGGGGTTATGCGGGCCGGGCGCGCTGTGATGCTGACCCCTCTCTTCCCGCAGCTTCCAAGGGCTGCATCAAGTGTGAGGCGCCCTGCCCCGAGGACTGGCTGCTCTACGGCAGGAAGTGCTACTTCTTCTCCGAGGAGCCGAGGGACTGGAACACCGGCCGGCAGTACTGCCACACCCACGAGGCGGCGCTGGCGGTGATTCAGAGCCCCAAGGAGCTGGTGAGCACTGGGTGGGGGGGGCCCTCGGGGACCCCACCCTGGGACTCGGTGACGTGTTTCCAGAGCCCCCCCGAGCCGCCGCACAACCAGCGTGTGCAGTCAGGCCCCTCAGGGTCTGCAGGCCCAGGGGTGGCATGTCCACGGCTCTGGTCAAGGCCAGCTATGTCGCCGCAGGCAGCGTTGCTGAGCTCAGCTCAGTATTGTCACGTAAGAATGTGACCAGTGCCCCTAAGAAATCACATCTCATCTCCTAGTCCAACTGGGACCTGAGCTCTTGTGTCACCTCCAAAACGGTTTTATCCACAGACACGTGGGAGAGACAGGGTGTCTGTGGGCTGTGCCGGAGTCGGGTGCAGGGTGTGGGGATGCGAAAGGCGGAGAATCTAACAATCCCTTGTCTGATGCACAGAATAATAATCCCTTCTTCAGAGAAAGGCGAGAGCAGCGGTTCTCAACCTGTGGGTTGCGACCCCTTTGGGGGGTCGAACGACCCTTTCACAGGGGTCTCCTAAGACCATCGGAAAACACATATATAATTACATATTGTTTTTGTGATTAATCACTATGCTTTAATTATGTTCAATTTGTAACAATGAAATTGGGGGTCACCACAACATGAGGAACTGTATTAAAGGGTCGCGGCATTAGGAAGGTTGAGAACCACCGGGCTAGAGGATGTAGGTAGAGGGACGATCGCCCTGGGCGCTGAGGTTTGTCCCAGGTGCCTATGAAGTGGGCGAGCCCAGGCTTCCTGCGAGTCGGGAGCTGGCACCTGGGCTGCTGAGCCAGGGCACCAACCTTGTGCCAGGGTTCCTGGGCCGGGGGCAGGCCCCAGAGCCGGGTCCCCGAGGGGCCACTGCAGGCGGTCACTGTGAGTGCAGGGCACGCTCTGACCCTAGGCCTCACTTCTGGGTGCAGTTAGGCGCCCCTCTCGGCGTCTGTATATCTTGGGAGCCCTGAGCAGTCAGGAGACCACATCTGACTGAGCCTGCCTCTTTCCTTGGTGCAGGAATTTATGTTCAAGTTCACGCGGAGGGAGCCCTGGATTGGCCTTCGCAGAGTCGGGGACGAGTTCCACTGGGTCAACGGGGAACCCTTCGACCCCGACACGTGAGCTGAGGCTTCATCTGCGTCCTCTGCCCTGAGCTCAGCCCGGGCAGGGCCTCACCGCCCCGCACCTCCCGAGGGAACCGCCCGGTGCTGTGCTAGGAGAGCTCCCCGAGGTTCAGCGGTGTGACAGGCCCCTTAACGACATCGCTCTGCTCCATCGCGCCTCCTGCTGCCACCCTGTGACTCCCTTGTCTGTGCAGGGCCTGTCCGCAGGGCTGTGCGGCTCAGCCCCAGGGGGAGGGAGGAGGGGTCCGTGCCTGGACGTCCCTCTGTGCTGGCCAGGGCACACCACACCTGGCCACAGGGAGGGTGGAGAGGGGCCTCTGCTCGGGGAAGCCACATGCCACCCAAACACTGACACTGTGAGCGTTAGGGACCCTGCTGGGGTGTGGGTGGTGTATTATCTGTGAGGCCCACGTGTGGGAGTGAGTGTGTGAAGGGCGAGATGCCAGGCACTGGTTTGTGGGGTGATGGTGGCAGTGGTCACGGGTGATGGGGTGTATGATTGGGGCAACGAGGGTGGTGACAGGTGTGGGGGGCCGTCTAGGTTAGAGAAGTGCAGGGAATGAGGGACTGAACCCCGGCTTTCAGTCTAGACCTTATGGCTGGAGGAACAGGCCGCGAGGAGGTGGGGGGGGGGCACTGCTGCTGAGGGCCACGCCTGCCCCCAGGCCCCCAGCCCTCCTTCCCACGGAGGCCGAGGAGGTTCCCCTCCGTCCCAGCAGCCTCCAGGGGCAAGCAGCCGGCTGACAGTTCCTGCCCGTCCCCTCCATTGCTGCACCTGCCTCTCCTCATCACCTCTTCCTTTTCCCCTCCTTCCCTTTCCCGCTCCCATCTCAGATCAGCTCCTAGCACTGCTGAGAAGTCTTACACTTTGTCCCCTTACCCCCTTCTGGAAGCTTCCTGCTCCAGAGGCAGGGAGAGCCCTGGAGATGGGACCCCATGTGCTGACCACCTGGCAACCATGGGCCTTGGGGGCGTTTCCCTGACACTGAGGTGGTCCTGCCCCCACGCTCCCTCTCGGGGTCCTTCTGATGCCAGCTCTTGCGGGACCCCAGCTCCAGGCTTGGCAGGGGCTCAGGTCAGGGAGAACAGAAGAAACCGTGGACCATGAAGGACCGATTTCAGGCGAGGAGAACCCTCCCGCACAGGCCCATGAATGACATCTGGTTTCCTGGGCAGCAGCCCCAGTGTTAAACATTGCAGGGACTGGGGTCCACCCCTGACCTGTGAGGTCCTTTAAGTCAGCTCCTCTCTCCCCAGCTCTTCTGTGCCAGGGGACCCTGTTCAGGAGCTGACCTGGGGGGCTGGGGACAGACAGACACCGGCGTCTGTGGGGAGGCTGGAGCCCGGTGCCGGGAGCAGGGAGGCAATGGGAAGCCGTTAGGAAGGTCTTGGGGCTGGATGTCCTGGGAGGTGGTCGGGGCAGACACCACAGGTTGAGCGCAGGTCTTCTCTCCTGGCCACAGATTCGCCATCGCAGGCCTGGGGGAGTGCGTCTTCGTGGAGCCCACCAGGCTGGTGTCGACGGAGTGTCTGATGACGCGGCCCTGGGTGTGCAGCAAGATGGCCTACACGTGAGGTGGGTCAGCCAGGCCCACCCGCCCCAGGCTCCGCCCAGGACCCTCTCCCAGGCCCATGAGCCCTGGACTCCTTGGCCCCAGGCAGGTCCTGTGGCTCAGCAGGTGAATCCCATGTGCTCAGGAGGGTAGGGCCCGTCCCCCCAAAACACAAGCACAGAGCCCGCCGTTAGCACCTAACCAGCCCCCCCCATCCCCCGCCCCATCCTGGAACCTTCCTTCCTCCGGCGGCCCAGGCACTGACACACTGTGTTGCTGTCGGCACACACAGCCCCCTCCCCACGCCCCCAGGTCATTTCTCTCGTGGTTGCTGGGGAGGCTGGGAGGCAGGGCTTTCCTGGCCTGGGTCCCGCACACCTGTCCTTGCCTTGTTTGGCCGCTGCTCCGGCAGGCCCTGCTGCGTGGTCTCCGATGGAATAAAGAGATGACCGGCATCCAGAGGAGTCGGCTGCTGTTGGCTCCAGGGTTCGGGGAGGGGCAGAGGGCACGGCTCTGGGTGCCCGTGGGAGGGGGCACGTCAAGCCCACTTGACCTAGCTTGGCGGGTGGCAGGGGACCTGCGGGCAGAAGCAGTGTGGCCTCAGGGCACCGCTTAGCTCTGCAGGCCCCGAGTTATTCTTAGGTGCAGGGTGGGCTCCTTCTGGCTCCTCATTACTATTCAGCTCAACACGAGGAGCGTTTATTCACACCCACCACGCGCCAGACACCACGCCAGGCATGGGGATCAGCAGCTTTATCCCCCAGGGAGCACACTGGGAGCAGAGGAAACAGAATGTTCTGGAACGTAGCCCAGGGACGGTTTATGCTGCCTCGGGGAGGATTAGCCACGGGGTAGAGATGTTTGTGTTGGGCCTGATCCGAGTTTGTGCAGGTCCTGTGGCCCCTTCCCAGGGCCCTTGGTCTGCCTGGGCGGGGGGGGAGAGGCAGAGGGGATGAGAGGGGGGTGGCAGGTCCACCAGTGCCCCCCCCTGTCCACACCCCCCCCCCCAAGGGTAGAGCAGCTGGGGCCCAGGCCGCCCAGCCACCTCTCGGTGCCCCTGGCTGGCGTCACGTGGGCGGCTGCCTGGGAGCTGCCTGTGTGAACTGGGTCCCGGCCCATTTTCAGAAAATAGCTCAGGGGAAACCGGGTCCAGCTCTGCTCCGCTCAGTCCTTCACTGCTGGGTTTCAGGCAACACTGTCAACTTGGTTTTGCTGGCCTCTGCATGCTTTCTAGTAAAACATGGGTATTCTGTGGTTCTGTACTTGTCATTATTGGGGCACCAGAGGGGGACTGGGTGTACAATACGAGGTTAAAGGAATTCAGGGCGGTGGTGGGCCTGTGGGGGCGGCAGGAAGCCCACCCCCTCCCAGCGCCTGTGGGGAAGTGTTGAGGGGCTGCAGGCTCAGGCTGAGGACTGGCCAGCTGCTCCTGCGGGGGGTGTGGGGGTGGGGGGGGTCCCCTCACGCACACCTCAGTCATGCTCAGGTCCGAGGTCTCAGTGTCCTCCCCTCAAAGACAGCGAGGCTCAAAAGCCTAGTGCCTTGCTTTCCACGAGGCACCTCATTTAATTCTCACTGAAGCGCCCGAGGCAGGCAATGGCCACAGGGACAAAGCTATACCTGGGCCGGCCCAAGGCCAGCAGGACGAGCTGGGGCTCAGGCAGGAGGAACCGGCAACAGGAGGGCTGGGAAGGAGGCCGTGGGACAGGGGCCGCGGACCCTGGCGATTCGACTCTGCAAGGCCTGCTCCAGCGTTGGAGGCACCTGGTGACTAGGCTCTCCTGACCTTGGGTTTGTCCTGGGACCACACGACAATTCTAATCAGTTTAGCAAAAGGAGCCCTGACTCCGCTCACCAGTGCTGTAAGAGTTTTCCTCTCTGGTTCCTACAGGGGGGAGGAAACACAAGGCAGAAACAAAACCAAACCCTGGCGTGGCCCGTCCAGAAATACAGACAACCCGCCAACGGCTGTAACCAGCCCAGCGCCCCCACTACCCTCCCCGCTGAGTCCACCGGGTTTGCCGGGCGGCGGAGCCTGGTGCTGTGCTCCTGGCGGCCACGGGGGAGGGGGGGGGGGGAGAGCACAGAGAA